CATCTGGGTTCATTTATCCCGACCCAGGCAGGCTGGAGGACCCCTGTGCCCTCTCTGGTTGCAGGGTATGAGCATGCTTCAGTGTGGGTCCTTGTTGTTGTGAAAATGAAGAGCTGGCCTGTCTGGACCATCTCAAAAGCTCACATCCAACCCACCGCACCCCCCCCACCCCGCCAGGCCCGCCGCCCATCCCAGATGCCCTTAAGCATGGTTAGTGTAGCGCTTCATCTGAACTGAAAGATACTAAACAGATTCATTCAGAAGCTACGGGGGAGACAGGCCGCCTTGAGGTTTAGGAGGGTTTCACGGCAGATGGAAAAGAGGGAGGGTGTGCAGAGGAAGCAAAGTTGGTGCTTCAAATAAAACGTGTGTGTGTATGTGTGTGTAACTGTCCCACATGTTTATGGATGCCCACGTCGAAATCTGCATAATGAGACAAGCGGATACACACAGCATCCGAAATGTGTGTGTGCGCACAGGAAATGCCCTCCCGTGTCCCAGGTGAAGCGACTGAAGTGGCGTCCCCTCTGCTCGACACTGCTTGGTATAACGCGCGGTCCACTCTGTGCCAAACGTCAGCCCGGGTTATCCAAGCGCAGGGCTGAATGGAAGCAGAGTGAGTCTGGCTGGTTACTTAAAGTCATTGAGAAGTTATTCAAACACCCAGTTATTATGGTGTAAACAAAGGCAGCTTGTCACACTCTATTACAGATATGGTGTTTACGAGAATGCCACTTTAATGCAGTGCATATTATGTATGATGACTAAGGATAGTGTTTGACAACCGACTGATTGGAGAAATGAAAGTGGACTATAAGAGGCATTGTTTTGTCTGTAGACAGGCCGCAGAGAATATGCATGCAGAGAGAACTCTGTCTTGCAGATAGGCTCCCTATGAAGAGTGGACTGAATAGCCTCTGTGTATTAGCACAACAAAATGTCAAAATGTGCCTTTCTGAGTACACGATATTTTACGGATGAGAAGGGTGACTTTATAAGAAGGGCTCCACCTCTCTGTTTTCTACCATAATTTCTCGCCACCTTTTTGTCTTTTATGCAAAACAGATTCAGTCTTCAGTCATCCCACACCATCCAGGCAGTTTGCCTACTGTGTGGTTTTGGTGACTCTTCTACGTTATAGAACATTTTCATTTTGGCAAGTGTAAGGTTTTTGTCATTGCACAATGGGTGTTTTAATCTCTGATTAGAGGGAAAGAAAAGTGGTTATAATCAAGTGGTTGCAGGTTGGAAGTTACTGTGCCGGTCAGCAGCCATGTGTCCTGCTGATGTGTCCTTGAGCGAGACATCTAACTTCTCATGCAAGACAGGTCTGACTCAGCTGAAATTGTGAAAATCTAAATATGATGCTTAGAGGCATCACTAATAAAGGCCTCGGAACAGCTAATCTGACAAAAAAAATACCCACTAATCTCCACTTTTAGATTATTTTACTTTTAAAGAAAAGCTCTAATATGTGTGCCCACTGAGTTAAACACATAATATGGGGTCATAAAAAGTAATTTTGTCTTTTTGTCTAAGGGTGGATTTGATGAAATTTTGAATTCTATAGTATTTAAAATGTATTAGCAAAAGTGCATGTTTCATCTGATGTGTAATGAATTAGTCTGACTTAGTTTTTCATCTTATTGTCAACTATTTCTTACAAAACAGTTCCATGGCCTTTGGTCCATGTCCCATCCTTCCACCAAGTTTTTTAGTTGTTGCCTAATCCTGCTGAGTGCTGACAAACAAACAAAGAGGTTATGTTTTTGCCCTTTCCTGTTTGTTGGTGTGTCAGAGTTAACAAAGTTGTAATCAATTTCTGTACTTCCTGACAACTCTGCTTTATCCGAGGCACTAATGGCACCAAACTCAAAATGTTAAAAAATTGCATTTCATTAAAAACATTTTTTCCCCAAAACAGCTCAGAGCACCAAAACTACAATGTCTCCAATATTTTTTTTACCCAAACAGGAGAAAGAAGACTATTTGTTGCATATTATTTTCAACAGCAGTATTTATGGCAGCAGGAGGGTGTATACAGGATTGACGCCAACAACAGCATATCACCATTTAAAGTTATAAACAGAATATATAAAGTGGCATTATTCACCCAATTCTGACTCTACGTGATAGATCAATACATTCCTCTGATATTTTCCGGCTTTGCATCAGTCGACAGTGAGAGCGGAAGTATTCCTGAGCAGTGGAAAACAGGACAAAGCCACTGCCACGAGCGACCTCCTCCTTTTTTCAGGTCAAAAATGTCTTTCAAATTTGAATCTCATTACCATGTCATGAATACATCTTTTTTGGATTCTATTAAGCTTTTACTTCCTAAAAAATACAATAAGAAATTACATTCAACCAAAAAAGAAAAGAGAACAAAGCCAAAGCGAGAACATTACTGTATGAAGCTGCTTAGGCTCTTTGAGTCCCCATAAGAAGAGGCAAGAAAAAAAAAGAGAAAGATGTGAGTGAGTGACAGATGATAGCAATAAAAGTAAGAACAAACTGGCCATTTTACTGCGGTAGGGCCATTTGAGAAGGGATTATTAACTTGTCAGCATTTCAAACTGAGACACAACTTTTTCTCCTGCAAAACACATCCCCATGTCTGTGTTACTTTTATTAGAAAGTCTTTAAACCTTTGACCTCGAGGGCCTCCATTATTGGCTGTTAATAGGGACATGCTGGTCAGCGGGGAGACCCTAAGTGCCCTATTAATCATTTGTTTAGAGCTCTGGCCCATTTTGGAAGCGTTGTGTTTAGCGTGCGTTTAAAAATAGGAGGAGGCAGATTGAGACAGCCGCCCGCCACTCGTTGCTCAAACTGTCAGGACGCGTGGGCCCTTGGGGACGCGGCAGGAGACGCCTCAGGCCATGGAAGTTCAAAGGTCGCCAGGTTTATCATTATTACCCACTTATTGTGGCGACCGACAGCATCACTGTTGATTGCTAAAAATAGAGGCTTAAGTGCTGCTCCAGGCGCACGACGAGCAAAATCCTCTCCCAGTGTACATTTTGAAGGATTTTTCATGTAAACAGTCAAGAGTTTCATGTCAAAGTCGCAACACACTGTAGTTTATCTGCCTCAAGTAAATTTCGCAGTTCATGAATAATTCAAAAGAGCCAAGTGAATGCTGCTGCAGGTTTCCCACACTAAATGCCACAGGTAAGTGAGTTGTTTTCTGGCAGATTGACAGTGATGGGAAATAAAATGTCACGGGATCAAATCATTAATATCGTCAAATATTATTATATGACAGAAGAAAATACAGGTGTTGAGATTGCATCTGCTGATAAAACATTACTTACAGACATTTTTCCAATAAGCGATGGACTCTGCGCCGTCAATATTTGGAGGAGATGTGAGGTATGCCCCGGCGAAGGCCATTTTGCGAGGAGCAGAGAGCCTGCTGGGAAAAATACAGTGGTTCATGCTGGGTCTCCGGGAAGCTGAAAAGCCACCAGCAAAAAGCTATGAATTATTCTGAGTGCAAAATACATTTTCTTTGAAGACTGTCGGGCCATTAGAGCCCTTTTGCTCCCTTTTAAATTGTTTTTATGCTGTGAGTAATGTTAACCTTCGCTTTTGTAGTCATGAAATTCTCTCTGCACCTTTTTCCCTCCTAGCACAAAGCACAGAGGGGCCGGAAAAGTGAAAAGTGAGGAAAGAACTAAGGCTTTTATACTCGTGTCTACAGACCTATGTTCCTTAGTACATTAGAGACTCGATGTGCATAAGAATAAATCCACACAAATAACAATTCTCAGGCTCAGCATGAATATTATAGAAAAAAAACTTTGAAAAGAACTTTGATGCTGATGGAGGAAGAAAACCATTACACAGTTATGTCAAAGCAGCTATAATCAAGTCCTGGAGCACATTCACTGTTGACCATGATAGGGAATTTTCAAAAAGGGAGGTGGTCCAGTGATCCACTATGGGAGGATTATGAGAGTATATTGGTGCAAAGGCATTGATCGAGGAAATTTTTAACATTGCGATGTAGAATGTTTTTTTTTTTTACATTGTCACCAATATCCCAGGGAGGAATACATATATTAGGGGAATTATATCTATGGGTGTTTCCAATTTGGTCACATCCATAGTAAAGAGAAACTAGTATTTATCAGTAAATGACAATTACTTTATATAAAGAGGTGAAGAATAGAAAATGTCAATGTCAAATTTATTTATATAGCACATTTAAAACAACTTGGTTGACCAAAGTGCTGCACAATAAAAGGTACAACAGATAAGACATCAGGATAAAAATAGAATGAGAGAGAAAGTAGAATGATACATTTTTTAAATAAAGTAAAATATAAGATACATAATAAAATAAAATAAAGTCAGCTGGGATGAAAACTTACTCAGGAGAAGGCCAATGCGAACAGATATGTTTTTAGTAGTGATTTGAAGCGAGAAAAAGATCTAGCAGATCTAATGTGGAGTAGTAAGTTGTTCCATAAGTTTGGGGCAGCTGCTGGGAAGGCACGATCACCTTTTGTTATAAGTCTTGCTTTAGGTCGGCCCAGGAAGAGCTGAGAGGCTGATCTCAACTCCCTAACTGGGGTGTGTATATAGGGAAGTTCGGCTGGTGGTGCCAGTCTGTTAAGACGTTTAAAAGTTAAGAGTAAAATTTTAAAATAAGGAAAAGAAATCTCGTGATCCAGACGTTTTGTCAGACATTTAAATGAATTTACTAATTTTCTTATAG